ATGCATTCGCAAACTCGGTAGCACACATACATTCTATTAACGGTAATTTACTCTTCACGTTAAGAGAATATGATCCGTTTTGGTCAGTTATACTTTCATATACGAGGGGTAGACGCTGCTACTGCAATTCTGCATAAAATCACTACAGCACTAGGCCGCCTCAAGTTATATGAAACCTAAAGTCATTAAGTCTGAATAAATACGAGTCAAAATTAAGACTCCACGACTTGGCTTGGACGGATGATATGACATTGGGCTCAAAGATGTTCTAGAGGGTACCTATGATAGAGAAGGCGCCCCTCACAAGACAATCTAGACTCTAGAGTCTAGAAGCTGTTCCTGGGTGGACACATTATTTTCCGCAAGATGTCTGTGGGAGAAGAAAACATGTTTGACTTTTTGTTCGTTGAGCGTAAACCAGTTTTGAGAAACTACCAATTTTGGATTTACACTCCCGGTCCAATTATTATTCTTAGTACCTGTACCAACACACCGTTACTAACCCGTTTTCATTCAATGTTATAAGTAAAAACACTAGTAATGACGATATTCTGTACAAATGGAGACAGCGTCGCTGGTAGTTCTTCGATAAATAAAAATAATCTTATTAAAATTTTTACGTTAAACCAGACACGTTTAGTGACAAGGTGCACGTCCGGTCTCCGCCGTTTTTAAATTTGCACATGCCGGTGCCAGCGGTGGTTAAAAAACCAACAGCAGGTGTCGTTAATTAAGGGATAAATAAGATAATTCATTAATTGGCATTTTCCACATTGCTTCTTGTAGAGAATAATTAGGAATCTGAGGTATGGTTAATATATCAAAACACCGGCACCGCGATTGCGTGAGGTATAACTGTTGTTTAACGATAATGGGCTGCTTTTAAGGTAGTGTTTTTCTCGTTTGCTGGAAGCAATCAGGAATTTATAGTATGTACAGGTATTTACCGGTGTATTCAGCATAATTGCACCTTTTTAAATAATCCCTGACCACAGATTTTGCACCGTACACAAAGGATCAGGGTCTATAAGGGACGGTTTTCGGTTCTGAAAACAACTCAAATTTGTATTGTGTATTTCTAGCTTTCGTGATTTTTCTTCTTGTTTTAGTGCTTGAGACTTCTATTTGAAAGCCCAAGGTTCGCAATTCTGCCATTTTTGTCCAGGATTCATCTATTTTCTAAGATTTATCAAGTTAGATATAATATAATGACGGGTGAAATTTGGAAAAACTGCCAACATTGCAAAATTTGAGCTTTTAAAAAACAGTCAAGTGCTAAGATAAAAAGAAAAATGTTGACGAAAGACCAAATTACCTACGTTCTGAAATATTTCATAGGAAACATATGGACTCTGATCTTTTTGTACAGCAAATTCTTCGCTAAATTTATTCTGAGTATTATTATGCTGTAATAGTTGTGGTCATTGAGTTCTAGAAAATTTTAAAAGTGTTCATGTCTAGAATCATTTGGGAAAATCCAGCACCAAAACAGGGAATCATTAAATCGTACCTGCACTACACAACAAATAATAAATAAATTCGTTTGCAATGTCACGTAGAAGCAAAAAAAATATCCAAACAATCTAGGCGAAAAAGTTGAATTGATTACGATATAATAGTCTAAGGTCCAAGAAATGAAATTTGATGGAAGCTGGGAAAGCTCTCTCAATATCGGTGACTTCTATTGAAATGTTGAATAAACTCGTGAAATAACGGTTGTCATATAAATAAGGGTACATAATACGTATAGATGTAATATTATGTCTTTGTGCTTTAGAATTAGGATACCATTCATAGAATTTCAAATTTTTATCATTTCACAAAACACGGTTAGTTATTTAAATGGACCAATGAAAATGAGAGAAATAATAGTTAGATTTTCCAGCTATTATATTTAGTAGGATGTTTTTACTGTTTTTGATGACTGTTCATGCATGGCAATCTAGTTTTGTCCGAATATCACGTACAGGGTGTTGTACATAATACGTACCTGTAGAAATGTACCGAGTTTTGTTATTTTGCAAATAAAGGATATAAAACGTATTCCAACTGGTTCATCATCTTTTGTTACAACAAAAACAATTTTTGCGAAGCTATGATATAGAAATCCACACCAAATGTAAACAAACAGCACATTCTGCATCTCTGGTCCTAAAACATCGATATTTGTAAAAGTATGCGCTCCACCTATTATTCATCGTCTAGATGTTATAAGTTAGAATCAAAAATACCTATTTATGAAACATTGTTATATTTTCTTCTTATTTCTATTATTATAACACTTACGGGATATCAATTGCTTTTAAAGTGATCTGCACATCTGCAGTGTTGCCGAATCGGCAAAAAAAAACGCAATCGGTGAATAATGTAGTTGAATTCGGCATAAGGTAAATGTCGTCCCAAGATCAGTGGTAGATCAAGGACCTTTGTGTCATGAAAAACTTCCGTTATTGTATTGAGCGTGTACACAACATGTTTTTTGAGGGTATAGTTCTATATTACAACTTCTACAATGTGGATACTGATCGCTCTATCAAAGTACTTTGCAACCATTCTAGAAACTCCTTTTTCGATTCTTGCTTATAGGATTGTGAATATTTTTCTGTTTCACCCCTGAACTCATTTTAATTAAATATTTATTTTGAAAACAGACATGTTTCGGTTTCTTTATTGCTTGTCCGGTGATGAAATACTATTGATTTGACAATCCTGGTGAAATCCACCCTAAGAACCATTATTTAATATTAAATTTTTATTCCTTTGTTTAATATTAAACTGTACATTCCAGTTTTTCAGATAATGCTTTCCAGTGGTTCAATCGGAAAATGAAAAAGTAAAGTAAACCCAGGTATATTTAGTGTAATTGCAGCTAGCGATGTACAATGTACACAAATAATCATCGGCGTAGCAGTATCGTATTGATTGTCGCTAGCAAAGCTGAAGGCAGGGCGAGATGAGAACCGCGATATCAGTGACTGTTGTATACACAACATACCAAGCAAACGGACCAATCAGCGACCAGAATCGCCGCTATAATTACGATTGCTGTCGTCGTTATGAATTACGGCAAATTACGTGCTGCCCGCGATGTTGCTCGATGGTTCGATTGCAATTAACTACGAATTAGCCTGATGATGACTGTAACTGACGTACTGAATACATAGAAATATGCTAAGGCGGATATGAAAGAAATAGGATGTCAACTATCAAATGAAACTTAGGATTAGATGATACTGCTGTCTTTCTTCTATACTGACAAAACACCTGATTCTTGACACTGCGGATTATAGTAAAATCTAGTGGGAAGTGAGCTTCTTTCAGACTGTAGCATTTGCCAAGAGAAAATAGTTAACCCATTCAGTCTTAGGATGTCACGTCGGCCAAAAGCCAACGTGTCAACATCCCCTAGCAGAGGAAACCGAGCAGTAATTAACATAACATGCCTGGACCTGGCAATCGGGCTCTGAAGGTCCCACAACAACCCTCAGAAACTTGATATTCAATAATAATAAATGGTAAAGTCGTAAAGCGTTAATTAGAATACAAAGGTAAAAACCTAGCATCTTTATAAACATGGCTTAAGAGTTTTATGATCAGGAATATAAAAGTATTATCTATAGAAATCCATACAATACAGTATGACAAAGGAAATACTCAGTGATTGCTCACCTTTCAGATAACCAAAACACTGCAACCAATAGGACAATTATAGATATATGATATATAGATACGCAGATATTTCTGAAAATCTTCTCGTAGGAAACTTGAAAATAATCAGAATTTCCTTTTTCATTTTTCGATGTTACAAGCGAATAATTCCTGTAATGCTGAGATAATTTCATTTGCTAAATTCGAGTGCAACTGCAAAAAAACCGAGAAATATTGCGGTGTTGAATTCGAGGAATTAAACGAATGGCTTCACTTTTATGAACCATGATAAAACAACACTCTAGATGCTGAATAATACCGTCTGTGGTCACGAATCTCTCCGCTATTATTTCACAATTTGCATCGTTCACAATCGTTATTAGCAGCGTCCTACCTTCCAGTGCGCTCCTTTTAGCTTCTTAAAATGAATCGATCGCCCATAACAACATAGGCGTATCACGAAATCAGCGTGTAATAAAATTTAATTTACTATTTATGATTATGTCGCCATAAATAAAACCAGCTAGCCATGTGATCGCGATCGAGATGATTAATGCCTCGATGAGATTAAGCCCGCAGCTACAGCCGCAGATTTATTTTTTATTTATACGAAAAAGGCGTTTTTTACATGTGTTGCTATAATTATTCGAGAAAACGATGTTTGTTTATTCGTGATAAATCATCTTTCGAAACTTGGTAGGGCGTTGCCAACGTGTGTTATAGATCTTATACGATGACGGTTTGTTTATCTAGGCTAGGCTGTTAATGAAGAACAAATTAAAACCGAAACAGGTAGCCTTCTTTTTTTTCTTGCAGTCAGAAGTGGGATCGCATGCCACAAAACTCTCATTTATAGATCGCCTGGGGGAGTAAAAGTATATGATTGAGTTTGCTAGACCTTCACAGGTGAGATGGTGTCAAAATTATTTGCAATTTATTGCGATTTTTATATTTTGTTACGGATTTCTATTGCGGTCAATACGAATGACATACAAACACTTTTTTTTATTAAAATTGATGGTCTTGAAAATAACATTTAGACAGTACATTGCTTCTAAGAATAGACTAACGTACGAGGTCGATTGTTAATTTCATAGATATTTCACAAGTGCTATAGTAAGTTTTCTTCTTAAAGCGCATAACACTCCGACAATGTTTACTGTTGCTTCAATGTTAACTGTTGCTTCCTGTGACTTAATTTTTCTTTCAAATATTATTTGCCGTCCAAATAAAGATGAAATATGTATATTTGGCTTATAAAAACCCCTCTTACCTAGAATGACCCTCGGCATAATATGAGTACATAAAGAAGTCCTTCAACTTAACTCACCCTCTCCACTTTTTTGTTCCAGAGTAATCCGTACGCGTTAAAAGATGCCAGCGGTGCTGCGGATATGTCGGCGTGGACCAGTGCAGGCCTCCAACCTACCACAGGGTACTACCCTTACGACCCTGCGCTTGCTGCATATGGGTGAGTCACTATTTCACTATATTGGGCAAGAAAAAGTGCTCTAAAATGGACCGCTCCCTTAAATCGGACACCTGGCATCGTTGGCAATGTATTCTTTGAAATTCCAGAGTTACCAAGCGTAAATAGTAGCGCACTTCGCCTCACATTACTTTTTTGTCTTGATATTGAAAAAAGGTCTTACGCAGTGCTGCAGTTTTCATTAGGGCATTATGGCAAGATCCTAGTCTCGTCCGTTATGAAATTTGTTTCATTTGGACTTGATTGAATTAGTAAGGAAATTCCTTCTATAGTGACTGAAGCTTTTGATACTTTTTGGTACGGGAAGATGAAACGGTAACAGCAATTCAGCTTTATTTACGCAAATTGCCAAGCACAAAGACTTGTTTCTGCGCATAAACGGCCCTCTAGAGACTGAAAACTCTAAATCTCTTTTAAATATATTCTCTGTACTTGCTTAACAATAACTTCTTAATTAATTATTGACATTTTTTACTAAATGTTGCTTAACATTACAAGTAAATGTCACACGCTTTTAAAACATTATTTCAGTGCTATTCCGCATTCGTTTGATATAACATGAATAGAAACAAAAATTCCCAAGTAATTTTCCCACACATTTTTGCCATTACATTATTGTCACATACAAATGTGTCTTGTCTTGCAAAATAATAAGTGTTACATTGCCTGGTCAATGTCGTCACTACCATTTGTAATGTGAACACTTACACGATCATTTTTTAAAGTGACAATTGACACGATAAAAGGTGTTACCGCGTTTGCTTGAATAATACGTGCTCATCTAATGCTTGAATCAAATGTCACCAAATTTACATTATGGAAACATTAATAAAGGTGATATGGTAAATCCCCATTGTCGCAATTTGTACGCACTTCTGTTTGTTATCTAATGCGTCGTAGCACTTTTTTACTTGTCATAAGTTTGCAGAAAACAAATTGACGAAACAAGTTGAAAACAGTAATTAGTCATCATTACGGTCTAGGTAGTGAGAAGCTTTTTGGGAAGATTTCATGAGTAATGTAGAGTTTAAAGGTAATTGATAACCGTAACTTATCGTATTTGGAGAAAACCTATTTCTGTCAATTCTCCTATCGCTTTTTTTCAGTTTTCTTTATAGAAACGTACGACTCTTTTTCATCTCAAGAATACTTTTTATCTATCCCCGCTGTAAGTTCAGTAAAGTATACCTAACTTTCTCTTACAAGCAATAATATTGTTTCATGGAAATATATGCAGTAGAAACACACAGAAAGCTATCCACATATCATCCAAAGCAATCTCGACCGAGTACAAACAAAATATCAATCAAACGAACGTACTAATAATATCCTTATCAGCAATTAAGCTGTATGTAGCCTAAATAGGAAAAAAATGTCAACAGATTATTCGAAACATCTGATATCTGGTACCAATTAGGGAGAATAATATTCGAGATGACTGATACCGTCCCACTTATCTGATCCAGCTAGCTGTGTATTCAAACCACGCCTTCTCGAATGGCAATGGAAAGAAAATATAAATTCCCCTCCCCCTTTCCTGGTCTTTGGCGTAGTTTCAATTCTATTTAGAAAAGGATTCCATGAATATTGATGATATTTGTAGTATGTAGGTATATAAGTGATACATCCTTATGCGGAAGGTGTGAATAGGAATATGAAACAGCCAAGCAGCTACTTGCGTTGGTCTTCTAAGGTTAATGTCAGAAAAACTACACTAGCCAATCCCTCTATTTTGAATATAACATACCCGTTTACCTGTTATATTTGTCCATTGTAAAATCTTGTCTTAAGTCTGACGAACGCGGCGTGTAGTAATTTTGTTTATCACAAAGTAGTAGTTGAATTACAAAAAGGTGATCCTTGTTGACCTCGCGAAACTAACGTCCTTTATATCTCTAACATTCTGTAAGACGCTGACAAATGTACATAGTTTTCTCTGCTGCTAGCTGTTGTAAAGGTCAAAGAATTCAATTTGATGTCCGACATGCATTATCGAAACGGCATCCAAGTTAAAACCTTTCGACCGTTCGTTCGTAGAGCCAGTGTGTGGGTTACAACGGCAATTTATGAGCGGTTCGGTTTAATTCAAGCGGGTGTATAACAACTGCAGATACACCAGTCGATATACATATATTCTCGTATAAACCCAGTCTGCAATTATTAGTCACGTGACAATGGATAACTTTCCACTAGACGTGTAACAAATAATGAATTATTGATAGTTGGGATTCACTACTCGACTTGATTTTCAAGCTGCTTTGAAGTCAAGTTTTAGATACTAACAATGTAAATCAAGTCAAGCAGTTTTTACGTCATTATTTCAAAAATTCTTGATATAACCTGATTTTTTTTACATTAAAGGAAAGGCTTGTCACACGTTCCAGAGAAAACAATACATATTGAACAACATATTTTGTTCATCGTATATTAAATAAAAAAAATTATAAGACAGTAAAATCAAATAAAAAAATATCAGTTGAGACACATGAAGGTGATGTTGCAAGTAGATTTATGAATACATTGCCTTTTCCAGAACTCGTGATTGTTTGCATTAGAATGCAATATACGTTCATTGGTTGTATAAATAAATATAACCTTTGGTAGACCAAAAATATAATATTCCATCAAGTATGAAGTATGTAGTTCGAAAATGCCTGATCTTAAGTCAAGTAGAATAATAAAAAAAACAATTCAAGCATTAAGGTTTCCACTAATTTTATTGTCGAGTAGTTTCTAAAAAAAAAATATCAAGCTACTTGATAAAATTATTACAGTCACTGAAATAGCATCAAAATCAAATGAACAAAATAATAGATAAAGACAATTTGACGATAGCGTTTATTGAAGAGCATAATTCGCTTTATAAAAAGTAGTTAAATTATTATGGATAATTTGAAGAAATCAATATACATTGAACCAGAAATTGGTTTATTTCGGTGTTTGCGAATATGGTGAAGGTGCAAGCAAATCTTCATCCATTGATAATAATCGTTACATAAATGAACATATCTATATATTTTAACTTGAGAAAATACTGCACCATGAGTTTTCCAAGTACACATACATATAAACGGCACTGACTGGTTCAACAACAGGAAGACAATGTCGACCCTGTCGTATCATCCGTACGATCTTCCCGTCTGTGTAGCAGTCACGCTTTCGGACAGCGCCCCCTGTCGGCCGCCGATGACAGTCACGACATGTGACGGCGCCGTAAGACGTCTCGTCTCGTCTCGTTCACACACAACCGCATGCAGACGACCAAAAGATTTAAGACACGCATGAGAATAACAACCACGGACGATTATATCGGAAGAGCTGTTGTACCGTCAAATACTACAACACGGTACTGCAACACGTGTCCTTCTATGCATGCTAGAATCACTTGCAACATAATATTTTAGGAGCCTTAGATAAGAAAGGGGGTCAAAACAAGTCAAAACGTTCATATGACCCATGGTCCAAAAGTCAATAAATTTTTGTCGAAATATCTTTATAGTTTACAACTTTAAGTGCTTTATATCGACCACAATCACCACAATCTTACTAATTTTTATAATCTAATCTAAAACGTTTTCAAATTGGGTAATTAACAAATAAATGGCATTAAGTTTTTATAAGTTAAGCCAAAATTTGTAGTAAGTAAGTAAGTTTCATTAAATTAAATATTTAAAACACACATGATAACAGCGCGTCGGTCTTTCATCACTCTTATCGAACCGGCAATCGATCGCAAACGGTAACAGTGGTTAGTTATCGTTTTGCATAGATAAATTACTTTATCGTTTTATCGAGCAGAGCGTCGGGCGTGTTGTTTTGTTTTTGTTCGCGTACGTCGTCCTGTTTATTTACAATGTTCTGGAATCAAGAGTTCGCCGACATGTTGTTAGTTTACGGTGAAGCTCAAATTTATCACGACACATTTCGCCAACGGATACACTCAAACAGAAGGACGTTTGTGCAAGTGTACCAAACACTTCGAGATATAGGAAGTGTTCACCGCACTAATATTTGCACTCCTGAAAGACAGGTTACAGTAGATCAGGAGGAACAAATTTTAAATATCGTGGAAATGACTATGCTACCACTTCTAACATTCGTGGGATAGTACCACCTCGTTTGTCGGAACAGCATCCATCGACTCCATCCTCAGTCCCTCTAAATAAAAAGGCAATAGATCAGCGAGCCCGTAAGTGTTGTTGAGCATATTTTCCAGTCGGTTTACCGCTCGAGTCGCGTTGTCGGGGGAAGTGTAACGGGAGTTTCTCTGGTGCGAGTGTCGATAAAACGTGGGGAATGGTGGAATAGTAGGAATGGTGCATTGCGATGGAGGCGTCGGCGGCGTCGGGGCGCGCAGGTGGACGTCGAATCGATAACGCGACGGCGCGACGCAAACGGCCATTTTGACACGATACCACAACACGCCATTCAAAAGGTGGACGACGGTGAAGTTACAACTACGCTTTCCCTTCATGCCTGGCTTGCGAATTTTGGAGGCGCTAAAAAAGAGTAACAATCTTCTCCGACAGCCAGGCTGCACTGCACTGTAAGATTACTTCGAATCTAGTATTGCAATGCAGGGAGGCTCTGAATAGTTTAGCAGCGAGGCATCCAGTGTCGTTAGTGTGGGTATCGGAAACACTGGAATAAAGGGTATATTCTGTGTCGCTGTGAGGTTCTAAGTTCAACAAGCAGAGCTACACTGGGGTCCAACACTTTGGATTCCCAGAATGTTTATACGGTCTATGCACCTCCTCTAATTTCTATATTCATTAATTTATTCCCTTCACGCACAAACTCTCTAAAATCGGTTAACAGCTGTTGTGAGATTTTTTCTCGCCAATTCATGAGATTTATCTTTAAATCTTTAAATCGAAAAAAATACCCAAACTTTATTGTTGGTTTAGTTTATTGCATAATATATTCACTGGGAGATCTTTTGCAATTCTACCAGATCTTGATCTTTGAGAATTTCGGAAAAC